AATTTTTTATTTTATTTTTCCCCACACGAGTTGACGAATAAACTTGTTATTTGTCGGTTCGTGCTTTGTGAGTCGTCAGCTTGTGACGACTCATGAAGCAGGATCACTTGCCAAAAAGGGGAGTCGTCCCCATCTCTAGTACTGGGCATAAAGGCACCTATTGTTCTGGTGTTGCTGTTAAAGCATGTGAATGCTAGTCTTTCAACCCAAAGATAGCATGGCAGGACACAAACACCCCAAGGAGTCATATGACTTCAAAATACGATAAAACCCAAGATGGTCTAGTATTTGAAGAACAATAATATTTTAGTGACCTTTTAATCTATTGTGAGGGTTCAACTTTTGGCTCCGTGCTGAGCTCAAAGAAATCAGTAGATTGTTGTTGCTTCAAAACAGGAAAAAGATTTATTGGTGCATGTAACAATAAACAAGTGTCCGCAACATGATTGTGAGTCTTTTCTCCTTCTGCCAACGGGTCCCGAAGGGGTTTCCAATTTTCAAACAGGAACGGATTTCCACAACTGGCGTTCCATGGTCCTGGTAGATCTGAAGGGACCCATTCTCTTATGGTCTGCCCCATTGAGCCTTCCAGCAAGGGCACAGTCTCGTCATCCCAATCATCATTCCACAGGGATCGTCTCTCAGGGTCTCGGTTCTGCCAAGGTCCTCCCTGTAACTCTTCCTCCTCATCTCTCTTATTCTCCATTCCAGCCTTTCTTTTCTCTCTCAACTCTCTCCTTCTCTCAGTCTCCTCCACTCTCTAGCCTCGGCGTCTCCCCAATAAGAGGGTCTGGGTGGAATCTCTCTTCTCCTTCTGTAATCCGCCTCTTCCTTAGGCACTCCCAGTCTCTCCCATGATCCCGTCCATGGATCTTCCATCCACACCCATGCCCAACCGGGCGGCAACTGCCCCTCCTTCCTTTTTGCCTCCCCTGTTCCTGCCTCAAACTCCACCCTCTTCTGCCTCTCCTTTCCCACCTCTTCCTCCTGGACCTCCCCCATCATTACTTTATGCATCTCTTCTGTCAGCTCCTCTATTTCTGTCCCTTGCTGGGCTTCCACTGTAGGCTCTGGTGCTGGCTAGGGTCTCACCTTCTTATCCTCATTGTGGAGGAGGGACGGCTCTCCGGCGAGTGGGGAATCCCTCTTGCCTTCTGTCTCACATCTATAAGTGCAAACAAACAAGCTAAAATGTCTGGGCAAACCAAACTGTTTTAACATTATGCTCTAAACAGAAGACTGCCTAGGGTCGCTTTGATGGGAGCAATAGATTCCCAGCAGTGGAGATGACCAGCAAGAAGGGGGCCACTGAGGGCAATCTATTGTTGTAGTTTGTGCTGTTTTGTGCATTAAAATCCAAGCTGGCGAGAATTTCCAAGCTTATTCTCTCTTTGAAAACCTAACACAGGGAAGGGGGTTGGGGGAGGAAGAACACATCCCTTTATTTGCTGGAAATAGACTGTGGGAGATTAAAATGGCTTGTCTTGTGCCTATTTATCCACACTGGCTAGAAGGGAACCTATGGATCATCAAGTTCAGTTCCTGTCTGAGAAACACAGTAGGGAATTTAATTCCTAATTTCTGGCTCTGCAGCCAGAGACCTCATAGTTAACTAGCTGTTATGTGCTGTCAAGACAGAACCAATTTATAGTGATCCTACCAGGGCTTTCAAGGTAACTGAGATACTTAAGGAGTGGTTTTACCAGTTCCACACCCCCAGTCAGTTTCCATGGCTGAGTGGGGATTGGAGCTTTGGTCTCCAGAGTCCTAGTCTATCACTGTATCCACTACACTCTGGATGCCCTGTTGGTTACAGTGGTGCCCGGCATGACAACGATAATCCGTTCTGGGAAATGTACAGTGGTGCCCAGCATGACAACGATAATCCGTTCTAGGAAATGGTCGTCATGCGAAAAACAATTCCCCATTGGAATGCGTTGAAACCCATGCATTCCAATGGGGGAATTACCTCGTCGTCCAGCAAAGATCGCCCATAGGGGAAGCCTTTTTCTGAGAAGCGATCAGCTGTTAAAATGGCTGTCCTGTGAAGCATGGGTCCGGAAAACACAGGGCAGCCATTTTAGGAACCTGACAATCAGCTGTAAAGACCATCGTCTTGGGAATAAACAGTCCGCGAAGCACGGACCTAATCGACATCCAGTGGAATTCCCCCATAGGAATGACTGTAGAATCACTATAGTGATTGCAAAAAGTCACCGTCCTGCGGATTCGTCGTACAGCGGGGGCGTTGTCTAGCGAGGTAACACTGTATTTTAGATCAGGCTAAAGAAAGAGTATGATCACTGCCGGGACATTGCAGCAATTCAGTTCTCCACAAGGCGTCTCTCTTGGACTATTTTTATGATGAAGGGATCCCTGTGCTATATTCACTGAAAGTTTCCCCCTATGGAGACAGCTACCAAGGAAACAGAGAATCTCAAAGTTGTTCTTGGTTGTCTTTGGTCTCAGTCTTTGATACTCCAGATGGTTTGGACTTCTGCCTCTTCATTGGCCATACTGATAGGGGCTGCTGGCAATGGGAAGCCAAAATGTCTACAAAGCCAAAGGCGAAAAACAGCTTCTTGAGGACACAGGTCGCTGGCCTCGCCTTTTATATCCCATTGGCATCGCACAGGTATGCAGAAAACACAGCTGTTGCTGCAAAGAATTAGAGAATCTTAGCCTATATTTTTTTTAAAAAAAGAATGAAAAGGCCTGGTCTTTCTCTTCCTGCCTCTATAGAGCTAATCCTTGCAACGGTTCTTTTGCTAAACTAGAAGTTTTAATCCAAGAACACCTGGGAACCCAAGGGTGGGAACCACTGCTCTAAAACAACTCTGAGAAAAACACACACACACATACACCCAACCTGGTGATCCTACAGTTTCTTGCTCTGGAAAATGTCTTCTTCCTTATCTGCATTAATGGTAGGACAGAATTCAGCTCCCCCACTCATCCAATTAAATCACCCTGATCTTGCAGGGTAAATTTAGGGGACCATTGTGGTTATTGGGGCAGTGCTGTTCATATGGCCAAAGCTTGGCATAAACTGTTAAAGGTGGCAACTGTATTCTCTCTTCCTGGTGGATGCCATTAACAGAAGCCTTTGGAGAGAGTGCAGGAAGCACTATCCTCCTTGTAACTTCAGACCAGCTTCCTGTTGCAAGGCACACCGCATATGCATGCACGGACATTTTCACATCCTTTGGTGTGAAACTTTTGCTAACCAGTTTTGTCTCTTAAGTCACCAGGATGGAATCGGGACACTTGCTTCTTGAAGTCTAGCTTGTACCAACTTGCTTTGCTATGTTCTTACTGCCCCTTACAAAAGGTCCCTAATGACCCTATAAGGATGCTCCCCCATGGTGAACTCTGGGCACTAATGACCTTTGGCTTTTTCAATGCAGTGCTTGCAAGCTTGTGAATGACTTTCCAAGGCTGGAAACTGCACATGTAAATGCTGCCCTTCCCTGGCACAACTATGATGGTGTTCCCACATTCCCCAAAAAACATTTTCTTTAGAAACAAAACACAGAAAAGGGGGCTCATGGTTAAAAGGCACTGTGCAGTTATTCTGTCTCCTGGGTTTTCCCTGTGAAGAGGAAAGAAGAAACTGTGGTAGACATGGGAGGGGCACAGATAGAAGAAGATGATGTCCAGATCCCTGCAAACTTCCATGAACAGTTCGTATGGAGGCCACGAAATAAGTGCTATCTAAAAACAGCCTTGTGTTCTTTCTGTACAAATACAGAATGCAAGGCCTGATTTAAGTCTAGCATGAAAGTGGAAGGAGGAATTATATTACTTCATCTTTAGGGTGGTCTGATGCAAATCTGCTTCTGAGCTGGGTGTTTATCTTGAACTGAAAGCACTTTCATGTGAAGTATGTGAAGTCTTTCCCATTCTCCCCCTGACACCCCACTAAGAAAACATCATCTGAGCCAGATCAGAAAGCAGGTGGGGTTGGGTAAAGAAAGAATTGAAATTCCACAAGTCTTTCCCCTGGTATCCCCACCTGGATCGGGGCCTGCACTCTATATACAGTACGTCTCTCCCTTGAAAAAGCAATGCTACTTTCTAGTTCAGTGGCTCCTAACCTTGGGTCCCCAGATGTTCTTGGACTAAAACTCTCACAAGCCTTCAACACTAGCTGTGCCGGCCAGGATTTCTGGGAGTTGTAGGCAAAAAACATCTAGGGAGACAAGGTAGGGAACCACTAATAGCTGAACTTTGGAAGCTGTTCGGAGGGAGGGGATTCTGCCACCAACCACTCCTTTTTTGTTGTCTAAACTAAAGTGCTACCACAATATAGCACTTGCCACCATATTGTAAGTAAGGCCGCTACATGGAATGTATAATATTTATTGTCCACATGACTTCTTTCCCCCCCCCCCATAAAATGGCTTCAGAAAACAAATTGAAAGCTTTTTCTTTTCAGCGGTGGTTGTCAGTGAGGCTAAGCTACCTGTCTTTTTGGGTGCAGAATGCCGGATCTACACACCCAATGGCAGGATCCAACCTTTACAGCAGGATCTCTTTACCACCTGAGCCTGAATCAGGATTCACTAAGGTTGTACCTCCTCCAATCAACAGACAAAGCAAATTGGTGTGGCTTCCAGTGACGTGTATTTTACTTAACCCACCATCTGTCTTCCAAGTTGATACCTAAACCAGTTTGCTGTATCAACAGGCCAACAAGGTTAACCTTGGAAAGTGT